CTTGGCCCAGCTGCTCTGAGACCACTTCTCGTTGACTTGGGCCTTCTCCCAGGCTCGCCTCACAAACTTCTGCCGGGCGCTGGGAACCATCACACAATCATTACAAAGTCTTTCTACATTAAAGCATGTCAGACAGTGAAAAGGGGCCCCGAAAACTACCTGCATTTATTTGGATGCCAACAATATCCTGCTTAAATTCTCATGAAAGAATGTCAAATAGTGCAGTTCAAAACTATAAAGCGAGATACGTAGTGCTGGTGAAGGCAAACGCAATGTTTTCATGAAACAAACTTCTACCTCAACATTTCCAGAGAAGCCCACAAACACAGAACGCAAATTTTTGATAAAAGAAAAGTAAATATGCAGTCGCTGGAATTTTCTGCAGTGTTTGCAAAACAAAGCTGACGTGGTCGAATCTCATTTTACTCTGCACCCATAATAACTGAATCTTCGATCTAAAGTTCAGATGTGTCTGAGCTCACCTGTGAGGAACTTTGATGACATAGTCAGTGAGCTGCATGCACTTGAAGGGCATGGCTTGCCTCTTCACTCCTGTGCAGGGACCGTCAACAAGCGCCTGGAAAGTGCAAAGGCAAGTTTCAGTTGATCAAATTGTAGCTCTGCCCCAAGTCAATAATACAAAATCCTCCAACTACTTACCCTGTTTTGGTCAATAACATCGACAATGGCCACCAGCTTGCCAGCATGGGGACCAAAAGATATGTAGGCGACACGGCCGATCTCTACAAAGCGTTTGAACACCTAAAGAAAAAATAAAAAGGCAGACATAACTCAGTCTGAGAGTATATGATATTATCCAAACCTACTGCGTGAAAATGAATTAACTTCTTATATCATGACAAGCAGGCAATCATAGTGCGCGTATAACAGCACTGTACAGCTTAGCAGGCGTCGCTAATGCATTGTTTTTAACACTAGCAAAATACAACTGTGAACCTTAAAACAAGCAACAACCCAACAGGAAAACACACGCTTAATGAAACTGAAGTTATAAATTCATAAATAGTGTACTTCAAGCTATCACCGGATAGCTTTGGGCCTACACGGCCTGATAGACCACGTTGTGTTGCGGCTAGTAGCCGACAACACGCTTCGACACGGCAACAAAATTCATCACAGACTAACCAGACTTTATAAAACATTTCATTTGTAGGTTTATAAACATCTCAGTAAAGCGTGTGGAAACTTCAGCGATGTAAGAACCTCTAAATAAGACGAAATTCAAGTTAAAATTTATCCGTCTCTCATGGCGAACTCACCATGATGGCAGTCCGGGAGCAGAAAGGACGTAACAGCTTCCGGTCGGCGCTCATACGACTTCCCTTTGCTACACGCATGCGCAGTGAAATAATCACGAAGTCAGAGACAATAAAGTGTTTATAAATATGTACACGCACCGTAACTGTCAACTATAATTGAAAATACGAAACTAATAACAAAATTGTCATATTGGTGTATTTAATATGTGTTATTTACACCCTGGAACTGCTTAACCAACATA